GAAATCATATGACTCAACTTGCTTTAAAAGTCTCAGCTGTTAAAAGCCTGGTTTTACTGATATTACAATATAAATTTATTCTTTCAGATATTAAAATTAGCGGACTACCTGCCCACATACCAGAGTAAATTAAGTATATTTTAAGTTGAATGCTTATCACTGGTCTTTAAAGGTGCTGACTTCTTTGGCCCCTGGCTTGCTGGGTCAATGAAGCATGAGACTTCATCTCTAGGTTGTAAGTTTGAGCCCCAGGATAGATATAGAGACTACTTAAAAATAAAATCTTAAAAAAAAAAAAAGATGCTGATTTCTTCCTAAGTTTGTCTAAATAATAGCTGCTTTTCCTTTGGGAAATCTAGATCGGTTTGTTTTCACTCAGGATCACAAATTCTACTTTTTTCGTATCCCCACGGGTAAATATAACTAATACACACACAGAAAAGATGCTGCACCTGAATACAGGCCAAACATTTTATAAAATCACTCACGAACACAAACACGTTGCCCCAATATTGCTATAGAGAGTTTGAAGTTCTGCTGGAGTATAAATGGTCTCTATGCAACAAGGCTTTTGTTCCTTGCCTGCACCCCCAAGAGAAAGTAGAACATCCTTGAAAGCTTTAATGCTAAAAAGATAAATACTTAACATCGCCAGAATGGTGGGTCAAAGAGTTTTAGCAGTAGGATTTGTAAGAAAATACAAATTCAGGAGGTAAGAGGATTCAGAAAGTTTTCTGTATAATCTAAATGGCTACATTATAAGAGCTCGGGTGATGTCAGTCAGCCCTAAAGAGGCAGAAACAACCTGGCTTTGCAAGCAAACTGACGAGTAAGCTTCTGCTAGGCCTAAAAGGCCGTCAGGTCCTAAATCCTAGAGGGTCCCTTGGCGTGGCTCTCTCGAGGAGCTACAGACTGAGGAGCTACAGACTGGAAAGGGTGCCCTCAGGCACAGCCAAGGTCTCGGTCCACTTGGACCGGACTCCGAGAACGCAAAGAGAGTCTCCTGGACTCCGGGCCTGGAGGTGGGCCGGGGTTGCCAGTCTAGCCCCGCGCCCCGCATCCCCGTCTGGACTGGCCCAGGACAGCCGGAGCACGGCCACCGGCGGGGCGGGGAGCCTCGGCGCAGGCTGCACGTCGGGGAGCAGGCCTCCCGCACCGCCCCACTCCCCGCCGAGCTCCTGCAGGCGCGCACCCCCACCGGTCTGGGCTCTAGGGCGCCGGGAGGGACGGCGCTAGGCCCAGGGCAAGTGCAGCCTCGGCCGCGGGAGCCGCACTGACCCGCCGCCCGCCGCCGCAGCGCGCCCTAGCTCCGCCTCTGCTTTACACAGACCCAGGACGTCTGCCTCGAAGGTTAGGAACCGAGGGCACAGCACCCCTGGCTGGAGCAGCGCAGGCCGGCGGCCGCACTCAGCCCCGAGCGGGTGCTTGCAAGTGAGTTAAGATGGCGCGGAGGGCGAGTGGCGGGAAGGCGTGAGCCAGAATGCAGGGCTCGCCGCACGCTCGCCTTTTTTCTTCCCGTCTCTTTTAGAAAAGACACTGTTGAAAACACACTTTTGAAAACTGAGCCTATCTGCAGGTTGCGGGGAAGACCGCGTCCTCGCCTGACCCCTACCCTGGCGGAGAACAGAAGGCAAATCGAGATCTAACCCGGGGCGCGAACTTTGGTTCCCACAGGCCCTCCCAAGTCCAAACTCCGATTTCCTTGGAACAGCAGCAGCTTCTCAGACGCGGCGACAGTGTCCCTTCACCAGACACCCAAGACACTGAAAGCGAGCAGAAATGATCATGCTTGAAAGGGGAAAGCACACTGCCTCCGAGAGGAGCGCGGAGCTGCAAATTTACCTCACGCTGACTCAGTCCACACAGCAGATGGTGGAGATGGTGGCAGAGCTGCGAGGGAAACGACCTCCCCAATTTTTTAAAGTACTTCCTAATAGCAGCTAAAGTGCGTCTTTCGGTACAAGGCACTACGTTCCTGTGAAATCTATCCTCGGCTGCTGAGAGCTGCGTGTCCGCACATGACAGCAGCTCGTTTGCTCGCGGGGCCTGTGGCCCGAGGGCGGCGGGCGGAGCGCGGCCCCCGCACCCCGCGCCCTCGGGCCTCAGCGCCCCTGGCGCCCTCGGGACCGCACGTGCGCCTCCTCCCCGGCCGCGCGGGGCGGCCGGCTCGCAGGAGCGTAGACCCAGTGGGGGACTACACGAAAACACTGATCAACTTCTCTGGCTACACAGGCACCGTGTTTTGTACTTTTCGTCCCCTCGTTCGGGTCTTAGGTGTGGGAAGGGTGAAAGAAACACAAAGGAAAATCAACCATCGTCTTTCTGTGTGGCAGACAAAACTCCGCGGAACGCCGTCTAGTGGCGAAATTGTCCAGGAACAACAAATCGGTTTTGTCCCCATCGCCCATACCCCCCTCTGAATTTTTATTTTAATTGGAACTTTGAAGCCTCTTTGCATCTCTCCAATTGCAAAGGGGTTACAGGACAATCTCTAGGTGGTGCTACATTTAGTCCCATAACCTGAAACTGACCCACACTAAGCAAGAATGTTGAACCATTTTCCGCCTCTTTCCTGGATCTCCATTCTCTGGAGACAAAAGTACAAAAACCGCTTCTCCGCGAGATAAAGTCAGAGCTCGGCGGACTCCTCGACTAAGACGCAGCGAGGCCCCCCCCCACACCCGCCCCCAGCTGGGATATCCATATTTCTGCATTTATTCTCAAGGAATGGGAATCTGGCCTGGGCAGGACTGGCACAGGAATTCCACCATAGAGGAGATGGAGTGGTAACCCCCAGATAACCTTCCAAAGCAAGTTTTAAGCTCAAAGCTTAAATACCGACCGTTCCGAGTTTGTTCTCTGAGTCCTTACCCCACTCCAACCCCGCCCAATCTCCCTGAAATATCCCGCTCAAGAAATGCAGGCCATTCCGTGTTTGCATGTACAGAGTCGCCACTCATCTCCAAGGCCTCGTATTTAAAGACCGGGATTTTCGTTCGACATCTGCCTAAAGCTGTGGTCAACAGCCTATTCTGACACGCATTTCAGGTACATCCTACTCTTGCCCAAAGCCTCCCGCCTGTGAAATTTAAAGAAATTCTTAACTCCTTATTTAAGACCCTCCTTTTCCTGCTCACATTATTTCCTACTTCAGAGAAAGTCAGATAGCTATGATGAGGAAGTGCCTACATTTTCCTGGAAAAAGAAAAGAGTGCAACAAAGTGAAACTTGACTCCTAGGGAACTAAGTTACTTGTAAATAAGAAGGAGAAAGTAATTACTGGCAGTGCTATAAAACAAATTCAAGTGGGAAATGGGACCTGATTCCCATTACACAGACTGCCCCATATTCAAGTGGGGTCGGGCTATACTTCCTTAACCCTTAAAAGTAATCACCTATAATAAATTATTTTCAAACTGTAAACTGCTTTCAAACACCATAGCGTTTTACCAGATTTATTTACTTGTTATACACAGACGATACAAACGAGCAAAAAACAAAACGTTTCTCAATGGAGTGTGTACTTGTATAAATTATTCAGTTCACAGACAAAACGAAACAAATATAAAAATCACAACATTAGATTTACAGAAGAGCCAAAATATACACACGTTTAGACCCTGAATTCCTATTAGGAAAAATCCCCCCATGGACTGGAATCTAGATTGAATATTGTGTATGATGCATATTTCACATTAATTTTAAAATACAAATAAAAGTATAGGTTTGCTACACAACATTAGAAATCCTACTAATCTATTTCCAGGGGGATTAATGCTCCTTATCAAATATAACAAGACTTAGAGGGGGGAAAAACCAGTCTTACTTGCATTAATGCTAGTGTTTTCCCAAGGAAGTCAAATTTCAGCTGTTTCTAGGTGGCAGGGAAATCATTTTCAAAACTAAAATGCAGTAAAATATACAACTCACACAATTTATCTTCACTAGACTACACTATAGTTACCAACAATTCAGTCATCTATATCATTAGTAGAATATTCATTACAAAGATTTACAGCATATAAAGGTGGGGGGGACTGAAAAGATATTCAGAAACAGTTTGTCAGCATATTTGGCACCTGCACAGACCAGTAATGGATTTGGCACTTTGGGGAAAAACAAATAAGGCAAAATAATATTGCTGATGTCGAGCTACTCTATGGGGTGGGGGAGGTTGGGGTGGGACATACAACTCCAGTTAACTTTGCTTTGCAGGCATCATGCCACTTAATGGACTTGCCTATGAGGGGACACCTATCCTTTACAGGTGTTCTGTCGGATTCTCCTTAGCTATTTATGTGCATTAGGCACAGAGTAATTATTTCATGCAACGGATTGAGGAGAAGTGAGAAACCCATCATTAACTATCAAGTATTTCACGTTTCCAGAGCCTCTTAGAATATTGTTAATTATCTCACAAGGCAATTTTTTAAAGTGGAGAGGGGGTGGAGAAAATGGCAAAGAAAGGAAAAGAATGGAAAGGTTAAGCGGTGAACTGGTTTTGTGCCTTGACGATGAAAATAAAAACTAGCCATTCGTTACAATAAATTAACACTATATACAGTCATTTCACAGGCTTTGTTCCACTGAAATTATTAACATCCCTACCATCCATCCATCCATCCACTCGGGGATAAGAAAGGACGCGCTGGGTGGGTCCAGGTTCTAGAGTCAACATCCTACGGTTAATGGGGAGGCCGAGACTTGGAGGGTCGGAATCGCTGATGCCTGACAGGACTGCCCAGGTCTCCTAAAGGTGAAGAGTTTCATTACAAGAAAGAGAAGGAGAGGGTGAGAAAAAGACGAGAGGGAGGAGGCTTGTTAGGAGTGTAACTTCACAGAAGGAGAGTAAGGAGGAAAACCGAAAGGTTTACAGCAAAGTTGAAGGTCGGTGAGCTAACTGCAGAAACTGCTGTGCAAAAAAAGGTTAAAATCAAACTCGGAGACCTGTACTTATTCGTCGCAGACGGTATTCGAGGGCCAAGTGACATGAGGGGGAGCGCGAGGTGGGCCGTGGGGAGGAAGAGCTGGGGAGAGCTGCGAGGGGCTGGCTGGGGGGCCGGGCGGCGGCGGGGCGCGGGGCCGGGCGGGCAGGGCCGGCCTAGCTGTGCGAGTAGAAGCCGTAGTAGCCGCCTATGTCCTTGGCGCAGTTCTTCTCGCAGTCCCGCTGGGCCAGCACCTCGCTCTTGAGCGGCGACGAGCTCTCGGACACCGGCGTGTCGGCGGGTGAGATCCGCCTCCGCTTGGCCTGCTCGTAAATCCCCGAGTCGCTCGAGTCGATGGACTTGATGGAGGAGGGTGTCTCGATCCAGCTGGAGTCGGACAGGTCCTTGGGCTTGGCGTCCTCGGCGGCGCCGGGCGGTAGCGGCGAGCGCTCGGCGGCCAGGCCCTCGGCCTCCTCGCCCAGATAGGGGTTGGCGCCCGCCATGCGCGCGGCGGCCGCGGCGCTGTTGGGCCAGCAGGGCAGCACCGAGCCCGACTTGGCGCCGCAGTACTGCGGGGGGCTGCGCGCGCCCCAGCCCGACGGGTCGGCGTAGTAGCCGAGCGGGCGGCCGGTGCAGCCCGCCGCCTGCAGCGGCAGCGCCTTCACGCCCGCCGCCGCGTAGGAGAGCAGCGTGGCCGCGTTGCCCGCGAAGTCCGTGGCTGTGTCGTAGGCCGAGGCGGCGAAGTCCAGCCGGTTGTTGGCCGGGGTCACAAACCAGCGCTGCGGCGACGGCGCGCCCGGGTCCTCGGCCTGCTGCGGCGACAGCAGCCCGTTGGTGTGGGGCACACTGCGGTCCGTGCCCGGCCCGGGGCCCGCGCCCGCACCCGGGTGGAAGCGGGCCTTGGCGTAGTTGCTCACGAACTGGTCCTGCAGGAAAGAGCCGGCCATAGCGTAACGGGCCCCGGGCACGATCTGCGAGCGCGGGGAATCGTTGGGCGAGGGGGTCAGGCGGTCCATGTCGCAGCCAGTGTAGATCCTGCGAGGGAAGGAGAGAGAGAGAGAACCGAGGGGTGGCAGAGAGGTCCCCTCGGGAGGCAAAGGGAAGGCCACCTCCACTTTTCGCCCACCCCCACAATCTCCATCTGTAACTTGCGGTCCAGGGTGGAGACGGACAAAAAGGTCACAGACCGACGTTCTCCCCAAAATAAAATAAATCGTGCAATTGGAAAGAGGTCGATTTGTCTACTCAGGGAGCTAGGCAAAACACAGATCAAGAGGAAGGCTTGCCTGTCCCCTCTCTCTCGAAAGCTGTACAGGGGATCAGAGAGCGGAGCACAGCAGGGGAGTCTCATCCCACTTCTCCAATGTCTGTAGGAACATGAGGGCAGATTTGCCCAGGGACTAAGGTGTTATTTGCTCAGTGGGCCTTTTCTGTGCAGTGAGAGTTTCTGGGCAATATTTCTAAACAAGATTCCCATTTTTTCACTCTGTGAAGAACACTTTCTTCCATTTGATAGACACGTAGGCTATCCAGGTAGTAATCATCAAAGACTGGGCTTCACCAGTCTTCTGAGACTTGAGGACTGCTGCTGGCAGCCTCCACAGTATTTACTGTCCATTGTTTCCCCCGTGTGATCCTTTAACCCCCACCTCTACCAATAATAACAAGAATTACTACTTGGAAATGAAGTCATCAGTCAATAAAATTCTTTTACAAAGAAAAGGTATATATACATTTTTTTCTTTTTTCTTTTGTAAAGTAAGCTTTACGCCCAACATGGGGCTTGAACTGACCACATGAGATCAAGAGTCAAGAGTGGAACCCAAGATCAAGAGTCACATGCTCTACTGACTGAGCCAGCCAGGGGCTCTAAGAAAAAGGGTTCTGTATGCTGATCTTGTCCTAGCTTTTGAACCATTACTGATAAAGAATAATAATAATAATAGTAAGTAAATAAAAATTAAAATTTAAAAAAAGACAAAAAGCAAAACGGAACGAACAAACAAAAAACACCTTTGGGACAAACTCTCACGGTGATTATCAAGCTCCTCCAAGCACTCTCCCACCAATAATAGCTAACCCTTATACAACTTGACTATGTGCCATGCACTGTTGTCTAGGACTATAGATAGTAATTCAGTTAATCATCACAACAATCCTCCCAGTTATGTAGCATTATTATCCCACCTTACAGAGGAGAAAACTGAGGCAAAGGGAAGCTAAATAACTTGCCCACAGACAGTAACTGTGTTACTGGGAGTCACCGCAGGTGAAATGAAGATTAATCTAGGCCCTGGGCCTAGAAAATCCCATTAGAATTGAGAAAGAACCAGAGATTGGATCAAGATTGGTAGAAGTGTTTTCTCCTACACATAGACACATGCCTCCCTTTTTATTTAGCTCACACATAAATGTTTTAATCTTTAATCAACACACTGTTTTGAGAGAGAGCCTCAGTCTTGTCAGACCTTAATCCTTGGGGGAAGAGATTCCCTGGTGAGTGGCCAAGCAACCTTCTAGTCCCCCTGAACTCTTACTGCTCACCCTATTTCTCCAAAAGTGATCCATGCTCAACATATCAGCATAAAAGGGCAAAGGGTGGGTGGCATAAGCCATTCTGCTCTCCCCTGTCCCCTAAACCTAAAGTCTCCATTTGTATAGATAAGGAAGCTTTTATGGAAAATATACAGTTTAAGAAACAAAAAGAAGCGATATTTCCTACAGAAGTCAGCCAGAAAAGGGTGGGTGAGGGTGATGCAGGTCCATTCTGCTTACCACACAAAATTTCCCTCCTGAAATTTAATTCCAGCTTCAGATAAGTAGAGGGAGGCAGGAAGGGAACATAACCAGCAAGGTGCAAATATCTTCTCTGTTTACCACAATATTTTAAAAAGAAAAAAAAAACAGCCTGCAAAAGATACAGTTTAGATGCCCATCCAGGTCCCAACCCACTTGGGATTACCGAATTGATCTGTGCAAAATAAAATGCTTTGGAACAGATGTTCACAACAGAATTAAAAGCTCAAAACCTACAAGACCCCCTAGTACAGAGACCAGTATCTCTGGCCTCCTGGGCCACACACTTCCCACAGTGCCGGGTCCACATTTTTAGATTGTGAGGACTAGAATAGCTGAGTTTTTATTCTGGGGAGTCATCTCGATGAGGCTTGCTTCCTCAAAACTACTTTTAAGGGAGGCACCTGACAGTTATACAAGGAAATATCAATGATTCTTTTTAGTTTTTCATAAAAAATATCAGGAGGGAAGTTTGTTATCTACCTGGAGATGGAATAGAAACAGCCACTTGTCTACTTCTCCACAAAATTAATCTATTTCTGGTCAAAGACAACTTCGACTTTGTAGCTCTATCCCAGATACTTCATGCAAGCCATGAAATTAAAATTCATGTACCCTTCCCTTTTATGGTCAGAATAAAAGTGGGGGAGATTCCAACAATCCAGATTTAGATTTTGCTATATAACACTATCTGAACTCTTGGGCACTATATTTGAACTCTGAGCAAGAATGCTAGAACAAGCACTGAGAACAAGCACTAAGTTTATATCTTCTGCTGTCCCCCAGAGAACATCATTTTGATAGAAAAGACACAAGTTAGGGAAGCCTGGAGAAAAGGGTACCAACACATTTAATTAAAACACGCCTAGATGCAAAAGATAAAAGGAAATAGTTTTCTTTTGAAGCTTATAAATAATACACAGCAACAGCACCTGGGTCCTTCCCAAAGCCTGAAATAACTGTAACAACGGCTCTGCTCATGACCTTGCCTACGGTGGGTGCACATTTTTATTCAGTCCATAGTAAACTTGCACAGGAAAAGCTATTACATAAAACTTGGAAATGGGTAAATAAAAGTCACATATGCCAAGGAGAATGTAACAACTGCCAGAGCCACATGCACTTTCCGGCAGAATCGGGCGGTTTCAGACACAGACAATCTGAGCTGAGCATCTGCAGCGACACATACAGCTCCCGCACCCAGGAACCCGGGCAGCTTCACCAGTCAGCCAGCCCCAGAGGCCCGCCAACAACTTTGTAATTCATAAGAAAGATAAAAATAAGTGGAGGAAATCTTTGACCCAAACCACAAAAACACCAAGCCAGAAAGTCACCAGAAAGAAAGGGAGCCCACAAAAAGGCAAGGGAAGACCTTGGAAACAGACTTGTCTTCGCACACTTGAGCTTCCAACAGCCTTGTACAGAACAATACACCTTTGACCTAAAGCCCAATTCCACAACTATTTGAGAAGGAAGGTGCAAAACTACTTACGTGTCATAATTATCCCGAAATCCTTTTGCAAAGGGGTTGTGATCTATTTTCAATTGTGTGATCTAGAAAAGACCAAAAAAAAAAAAAGATTAATATGGTCTCACCTTCTGTGTAGGTGGATTAGGTGTTTATGGATGTATCACCACTTTTTACAGGGGTCTGTGGCCCACAATTTCATTAGGGAGCAAGGGAAAAATTGGAGGGAATGAATAGAAAGGGAAAAAAGAGAACGTTTCATGAAAGTTATGAGGAACATGTTTAAATTAATGATGCCTAACACTAAAGGATTGCTTTCAATTAGCTCTCCCACGTGTTCTAGGTCAGCTCACATGCACATTTTAAAAATACTTGTTACAAAAAGACAAATCTTTAAGGGGCACTTGAATTCATCACCAAATGTTGCCTATTTTAAGTGTTTCACCACATTTTTAAAAAGTTGGTCACTTCTGATTCACAACCTCAAGAACCCATAACTGCATCTTAAAATCAGCTTTAATTTAAAATAAATGCATATTTTCATTTTTGATACTTCCATTTAAGTTAAAAAAAAAAAAAAACACCGTCACTCCTACTCGTCAAATCAACAGAAGTAAAATAAGTTTTGGCGAACTTGCAAGTGTTGAAGAGGTTCAAGTGCTAAAAAAACTCACTCCACAGCTTCCAGTAATTCGATTTATTGTACTTTTTAGATATGTGAATGTGTCTGTTCTTTTGATCGCCCAAAAAGTGACGTTTGTTTATTTTACCCATCAATTCTGAGACTTTAATTAATTAATTAATTATTTTTAGATAATGCCAAAGCTTGCCAATAATAAAATGCAGGAGAAAATCTGCTTCTTCTCTAAACGGAAGAAGGACTCCAAAAAAAAAAAAAAAAAAAAAAAAAAAAGTTTTGGGGGGGGGGGGGGGGGGAGAAAGCAAATTTAAATCTCTTCTAGTTTGAGAACTGAATTAAAATTCCCAAAAGAGACCCTACTAGAAATCCTGGGCCCCTCAAAGATGGCCCGTGTGACCCGCGATGGAGACGAATAGGAAGCGTTTTCCCACCGGCAAGGTATTCAGAGAAGGTGCCCAGCAGGCCCCTAGCCCTCCGCCTAAAAGGCGCACCAGAACCAGCTGTTGCTGATGTTAGTGCCCGAACCGGGGATGGCCGGGGCTGCCGGCTGGTGCGGGGCGAAGCCGCAGCCGCCCGCCGCGCGCCCAGCCCCCAGGCCTCCTTACATCGGTGTTCTGGTAGGCGGTGACGGCGATGAACTGGGTCTCGGGGAAAGTGAATGTCTGCACGCGGCCAGGCTGGCTGGTGTCCTCCGTGCCGTCCTCGTTCACTTCGACCACATGCAGGCGGGGCTGATACTTGTGCAAGGATTGTAAAACCACCATCTGTCCGGCGGAGAGAAAGGGGAGCGCAGGGCGGCGCGTTAGCGCGGTCAGTGTGCGCTGGGCTGGGGCCGCGGGCCGTGCCGGGGCTGGCTGGAGCCCGCCGCCCCGGCTAACTGACCGCGGGACTCGTTTGGCTGGTGACTTGCTAGCTGGGGCAGGACCAGCCCTGGTTCCTCCCCGAGCAAAGATCAGCGGAGCACCGGAGGAAAACCGAACCCGATTGCCTGGTCGTCAGGGCCTCCCGATCCGCCTAGCCCTCCTTTTAGGAGGAACAAAGATTTTTACAACCTCCGATCCTGTGGGTTTCCTTCTTGAAATCAATCGAGTATTTGTACAGTTCTTGGGAAGGTCGGGAACTCGGGAATTGGGCGGGGGGGCAAGAATAACTTTATAGGAGGGTGGAAATAGAATTTTGAAAAAGGCTTGTTAATGAAGCAAAAAAAACATATGTCCATTTTCTCATGCTGATTTAAACTAATGGACTGGAAGCTAGCGAGAGACGTGTGGGGGTGGGGGGGGCGGGAAGGAGCGCTTGAGCCACTGACCTGCCCATTGTTGTTTGAAGCTCCTTTGTTGTTTGTAAGTTTTAATTTTCCAAAAGAGATTTCTTGGCGCATCCAGTGAGCCCCCGTGTTGGGGGAATCCGGATGCATATAGACCCGATTTCCTAGAGAAAGAAATATGTTGTTTACATTATGCCCTGGGCACTGCCCAGTCCCAACTCCTCACCAAGTAGGACACACGCACACACACACATACACACACACACACACACACCTTATTCCACAGTGAGGCCCATTAGCTGGGGGTTTTTTAGGCCTCGCTTTCTTCCTATTAACTGGAGATGATTAAAATAGCTTTTGCATAATCCTCCCCCTTCTCGCTGCTCAGTCTGTCCCCCTATCCCCCTCGTTTCCTTTTAGAAGTCATTGGCCGATCGTTTTAAAAGTCTCTCGAGCCAGTCCACAAAGGCTTTAATTAATCATTCTCACCTAAATAAGTGTCAGGAAAATGTGTTAATTGGAAGGACTTGCCTTGCACATTGGTGTCCGCTTTGCCGCAAGGAACCCATTTGCCTCCTTGAAACCTCCAGTGATTGGGATCCGCCAAAATCACATCCACAAAAATATTGTAATGAGCCGTGGGATCGAGACCAGAAATGTTAAAACTTAAAAAAGGAAACATGCGCCTATTTAAATTAAGGGGGGGGGGGAGAAAACAAGAGAAAAAAAAACACGTAAATGTTAAAGATTAAATGCAAGAAGCGCGGCGCCAGATAGCAAAGCAAAACTTGTTCTTCCCAGCGTGGATGAGCGAATGTTTGCTGGGTTAGAGAAGGGGTGGTGGGGGGAGGAAAAGATGTGAGGATGAAGTCGGGGAGATCCGCGGGTTAGCTGGAGTGGGGAGTCGGCAGGTGTCACTGCCCAGGTGGAGAGTGAGGTTGGCGACCCGCACCTCCACCTGTCCTCGGTTCCGGGCGTTGATGCGTCCCTACAATTTCCCAGCTGCAGGCCCGGACTCTCCCTCTCTTTCGCCTTTCTCCGGCCCCTGACAGGCTCTCTGACCACCTTTCTAGAGCGGAAACCCCCTTACCAACACCACCGCGGCTGTTATACCTTCCACTTTCCCTTTTTCCAAAACCAGCCAACTCCAGGGCGCACCAGAGCGCCTTACACTCCGCTCCCGACCCCAAAACATCGCTACCGGGATTAGTCACAACCCGGCGCACTTGCCCCCGGGCCATGCCTGGAGCAGCGACTGCCAAGAATGTAGCATTACCTTCCCTGTTTGGTGATGATCATCTCCGTTTGGTGGCGGTGAAATTTCAGCCAGAGGGGCCTGTTGCACAGGTACACCTGCGCTTTGCCGGGTACCAGTCCGGGCTGCGTGGAAGAGAACTGGTAGAACGGGGCTCCTTGGTAGGAGTGGCTGTACTGCTGTGGGTAGGGGTAGCCGGCCGCGGGGTAGCCCTGCGGTGAGGAGTTGGACAGGAGGCTGTTGTAGGCTCCGTTGGTGATGACCGGGTGGTGGGCCATGTAGCGGCTGGGACTGCCGATGGAGAAGGCGGGGTGCGCCGGTCCGTGCTGGCCGGGGTACGGGAACATGGCACTGGGAGCAGTGGCCGCAGACTGTGGCTGGCTGGACTGAGAGAGGAGGTAGCGATCTGCAGCAGAGCCATCGAAACTGTGACGAAGCTCAGAGACCCCGTCCAAGACAGGAGAGAGTTTACTTCTCTGGACGTCCCCTGGTGAGTCCTTGGAGTCAGGAAAATTGTCTGTATCTGACTGATTCGTCATCCCCCTGGTAATTTTTTTCAAAGGTGAACTTCTCTCCAGGTTGTCAGTGGTCGAGATAATGGGATGATCGTGCAAGACAAGCTCAGATCCGCCTGAATGTGGGTAGCTGCTGCTCACATTGAGAAATTTCTTGGAGAGCATGATAGAAGGAGAAAGGCAGTGCTCCAGCTGCATAGCTCTAGAACCTGAACACTCGCCCTCCTGTCCCTGGTTTTTAAAGTCCTATTTATCATAAACTAGAAATCCACAGACCCCCTCACTAGACAGAAAGCACTTCAACCAGCAAATGCTTCTCAAAGGTTTGATTTACTTTTTTTTTTCCCTGGGAGAAGAGATTGGCCAATTGACACTATGCAGCAATCAGAAAAGGCTCACTTTTGATCTTGCTGCTTGTGCAGCCGATGAAACGGCTCCTGCCATTGGTTAACTGCTGACAGTAATTTAATTAGATAGACATTAATTAGGATAATCACCTGGCTCCTGGTCGCGACGATCATGGCAAATTGAAGGGGATGATTTTATTGTTGGCTTGGGGGGTGGGGAATGTGTGTTGGCTTTACGTGAGCACTGTTGTGTCACCTTTAAGCTTTGTGACCACTGCTTTAGGAAGATTCAAAGATGTGCAATTTACTAAACATTTTCCTACCTTCCCCCCACCTCCCTCCTCTCGCGGCGAGGGGCGGAGGAGGGAATTCGATGATGCTAGGAGACTTTTCGGATCTGAATGAGCCAAATATTCAGTTGAATGTAACGATTTCAAGTGCAAAGTATACAAAGCGCGAGCCGGTGGCCTCTTCTCGCCCTGTAAAAGTTCCAGAGTCTGTCTTTTCCAGTTAATACAGAAGCACATAACACCTGAGCCAGTCCTTTGTGAGCAGGTCCTGCGTGTCCTCCGCGAACTGCCCCCCACCACGCACACCTTTTTAACTACATACATAAATAAATAAATCACTGCTGCCGAGAGCCACGGCGATGAAAGTGAACGGGAGTGTGTGTGTGGCGGGGGGGAGAAGTGGGGGCGAAAAGCTGCAACTCACCCACCCATCCACCCACCTCGGGAAGGTTCGGTTTCTTGCTTGAGCACAGAAACAGTAACAATCCATGATCACCTTTTTAAGTTTGAAATAATCATAAGCTGTCGGGCTGAAGTGCCTTAATGTATTTGCAGTGATGTTTACGAGGTCTTTCCTAAATATTTTATCAGCGAGCTTGGTTGCCGATTATCTGAAGAGCATCTAACTGAGGGCAGGCGCCATGCATGCCGCGCGTCCCACTGCACTTCCTTCTCTCTGAGGTACTGGCTTGGCGACAAGGTTCAAAAGCCTCGCCAGGAAAAGAAAGGGCCCAGTCCTCGTGCAAATGGGTTCGCTGGAAGCGCTGATCTGGGGAGACAGAGTGGAAGTGGTGTCAACGCAGTGATCGATACCGAAGACGTGTGTGTGTCTGTGTGTGTGTGCGTGTGTGTGCAACGTTTATATAATCTGGACGGGAGGGGGAAAAAAAACATGCCAGTAAGTTTAAAATGAGGGAGAATCAGCGGAGGAACAGAGAAAATAACCAATTTAAAAGGATGTTGGCACAAATAAATAGCACGAGGCCCAAAGCGACCCTGGGATGTCGGAAGAAATCTCCCAGTTCTGGCTCGGGAGAGGAACCCAGCCGTGGACCAGAGGGCCGAGAGCGCAGAGGCTTTATCCGCCCCAAGTTGCTTCCGGTGGCGGCACCCGCCAATCTGCCCTCCCGCGGCTTTCCCCGGGACGCCGAGCCGCGCGGGAAGGAGGAGGAGGAGCGCGGCGGGAGCTCAGTTGGGCCCCGCAGGCTGGCCGACAGGCGGGCGGGCTCCGCGCCGAGCATTGCACGGGCTGGCAGCCTGAGCGGCCCTCCCCGCGCTCGGCCATCCGCCCGGCTCTGGTTCATTGTCTAACGTCCCCGAGCGGCCTGAGCGGTGGCTGCCCAGCTCCCCGGCGGTCCCGAGAGGCAGCCGCCGCCCAGGAGACTCGGGGAGCTTGGGGAGAGCCGCGCTGGCGCAGACGCCAGGGGCACACACTCTTCTGGTGGCAGAGGCACTGCCCGGGAACCTCCGCCCGGTCAGTCCTCCTCGGGGCTCGGCACCTGCCTGACGGAGAGCGGCTCTGGGGACGTTGGGTGGGTCCTAGACTTGGGCAGAGAGGGGTTAACCGACTCGACTTCCGCCTAGGCGGGCGCCTTTTTAAAGAGCGCTGCCTCAGTGGGCCGAACGGTCAGCGCGGAGCCCAGCCTGAGTCCCCCCAACCCCCCAAGGCGGGCTGGGCGCCTTGGCTGCAGAGGGCACCAGCTGTGGCCTCCAGCAGGGCGCCACGAGCCAGGCCCAGCGCCGACGGCTCTGGGCTGGACAAGTGGGTGACCAGATGTCCGACTGAAGCCGAGACAGTTTTCTGAGAGAAAAATACAGCCAGGCCCATTTTTCTCTTCGGAAGCAAATCTCAGCTCCTGGCCATGAAGCTTCATCAACAAGCAGGGCCTTGGCTGTTCAGGCATCCGGGTGCGGGGGAGGGGACGGGAGCTATGACACTATTTGACACTTGTTTTTTCTGCCCTTTACCTTTCACCACCATTTCTCCTGAGTGGTTTTTGCCCAACTTTGGCTATTCTTGTTTTCTCCTTTCTTCGACCATTAACTTCTTTGTCTCTGAGCGCCTCTCTATCCCCTGCTTCCAAGGTTACCCTCCACCCCTTTCTCAGTGGGACAAGAGCCTTAAGTAGGTAGCCAAAAAGGCTCTTGAAGGCGATCTCCTCATTCGTGGCATCCTGAATTAACTTTTTAAAGAATGAAGAATGCAAAACTGAAATGTTAAAGTGTAGAAAGGGAAAAGAGTGCACCTTCCTCAGTTTTTAAGGAATCAGAATAGGAGATAAATGTGCATTCTGACTTTAGGTTATCAGTACTAAATTCAGTGATTCATTACAGGCTGTATCTTGAACTTACACAAGCTTAAAAGGGAAAACTAACTTTCCTCAAGATCAGCACACCTGCTCTTGAGCCATACTTGCGTGCAGCAGGGATTCTCAGACTTTAAAGTGCATGTGAACCGTGCCAGGATTCTTGATTTTTTATTCAGGTCTGGAGTGGGGGCCTGGATTGTGTATATATAATGAGCTCCCAGATAAGCCAGGTGCTCCTGGTCCAGGCAGATCACACTATATATTGAGGTTGGAGCTTTCAGTGGCCCCATATTAGTCAAAGAGGAAAGCAGGGATATCTCTGTACTAGAGGCAAGCAGGAGTTTGGGTTCTTGCGCTGCTTTAACGCTGCATAATAGATGGGTAAAAATGCGCACATAAGCACATACACACCTTATTGAGCTTGTGATTAAATAAGTCATTTCAATGCCCAACTGGACCTGAGCCACCAGACTGCTGCTAAAATAGCTGTATATTCCAGGACAAAAGTGTTCAACAAGACTCAGGGCATCCTAATTTTCATCCATTCCAAATCTCAAAAGAATATGCAGGTTTTTACTAGGAGGGATCCTGGTGAGGTTTTGAAATTGGGAGTGTTTCCAACATGAACCAAGTAGGAGAAAGTGGTACTGGTTGTGGGGAGTGCAAGACGGGTGAGGTGATCAAATAAGAACAAAAGGCAGGCATTGTGCAAGCAACCTCAGATGTTTTCAGCAGAATAAAATGAAAAACAAAAGGAAGTATTTCAAATGGAATGTTGAGAAGAGCCTCCAGATTATTGAGGCCTTCTTCTAAGGGCATACTGTATGAAAAAAATCTTGGCTAGCTCTAATGAATATCTGTGAAATAAACCATAGAACCCTATTTATGTAAAGGGAAAAATCATGTACCCCAAAAAAGTCTGCACACAAGATTAAATTAGGCAAAAGGAAAACTTCTGCTAACTTCCACTTACATTTTAATTGTAAAAGGTTAGCTGTTGTAATCTCAGCAATTAAATTAATACATATTACATGTCCTACATAAAACATACTATGACTATATATAAGAGAAAAAGCCACAGGACAAACAAATGCTCAGAATACCTCTTATTCCACCAAAAAAGAGACTGTGAAACACAGTGGGAACTTAAGCCATTTCTACTTTTAGTTTCTGGTAACTGTTCATTAGGCAACCAATAAGAGCCTGGGAATTGTTCAAATAGGACAGTAATTTGGTCTACCACATTTCTACCACCTCTGGTAGGGGTGAAGTCTAAATTCCAAGTCCCCAAAGTAAAACCCTCTTTTAATGAAGACTTAGAAACAAACATTTTTACCATATTTTCACAAAGGGTACAAACAAGAATTAAATCTACCTTCATGTTTTCCCATTCTCCTTGGTGTACCCAGAATGGTGCTGTGCCATGAGTATTAACAGGGGCAGTTATTTATGTGTATCGGGTTAGAAACAGATTGAGGGATAAGGTCATCTATAAAACCTGCCATTAGTCAAATTTTTGTCTTTCTCAGAAAACTGAGTACTTTCAAGGTAATTTGGGAAAGATGAGAGAAAACAACAACAAATTATTTCTTACGTTCTCATGATACTAAACTCACATTATGGTGACTTTTCTTAATTTGCTTTGAAGAGATTATGTACCTTCTATGGCAGTCTTAGCTAAGTCTAGTGGAGTTTGCAGCAGGCAACTCCCAGATAGTCTCAACATTGGTAGAATGTACTCTTAAAAAAAAAAAAAAAAAAAAGTCTGAATTAACATTGCCCTCTTTTTCT